CACCTCCTGTGGCTGCTTTACAATCCTTATCGACAGAACTGTTTATTATATATCATAACATTCAGTTTCGATGTATTTTTTGGGCTGGGAAAGAAACAAATACTTACGCAATTTGTATTATTGCACTTTTATTTAAGGCTCAGCTGTGGATGCCAAGTGCTGGTTTCATTCAGTCCTGGTTTAGACGTGGACTAGACCTAGTTTAGTCCTGCAGTGCTGGTTCAATGCATCCTAAACATGGAGAGTACATATCACAGTTGTCTCATTTTGGTGACACATGCAGAGAGCAGGTTGAGCAGCGGTCGCTCGCAGAGGCACAAGAGATGACTGATGCACATCCTTGACGGCACAAAAGCGCTGACGTGTGTTGCGCGAAACTCTAACCATCAAAAGACGTTTGCTCTATATCTATATACACTGCAAAAAGGGATGAAAAATAAGTCAAACATTGTATCTTCATTGGAACACATTTTGACTGAGCCTTAGAACAAGATATGCCAATAAGACAAGCAAAACGATCTTGTTTTAAAAAGATATAAGAAAAGTCTCCCTTGAAATGAGAAAATGAAGCAACAGTTTTTGACATACGACTAAAAGGCTTTATCCCATTGGTAGGAATCTGGTTTTAAGACAGTCAGTTCTCAAGTTAAGATGAAAAACCACACGATTCAAGCATTCATCACCTCAAATTTATCACTTTTTACAGTGTACTTTTTAGTTGTTCATTTCTGAGGCAGGAGAGTCTGAGGACAGTGATGATCCGTTCACAGCGTTTATCACTGCTGTCACTGTTCCTTGTTGTTCCTGCAGTTGTTGACGAGACGAGACGTGACGAGAGCTGTGGTCAATTGGGGCTATACATAAAACATTTAGTGAAATACACAAAAAATACGGCATTGTCAGCACATGATCAACTATAACATGGTCCGATATATACCTGTAGATTTCGATCAACTGATTACTCTTCCCTGTTCCAGACCGGAAAATACACTATAACATATACCTCTACTTAAATTCAAGTAAATAAAAGATGCCACTAGAGGTCAGGCAGTTGAAAACATTGACGCTAATCCAACATATTCACTATACAGTTAAAATAATCAGAGTTGTAGCTTCTGACTTTTGACGGTGTTCAAGTAGATAGATGCAGTTGGTAATTAAGTAAGCATTTTGTTCACATTAACTTTCTTTACTGATAGCAGAAGTGCGTGGGCCGGCTCTCCACAGCTGTCAATGCTAACGCTCGCACACAGCACCAGCCAGATATTTTATGATAATGATCCTGGAATTGTCTAATGATCGTCCTCCATATGTTTTGGCCCGCGGTCCGTCTGTGGGCCCATTCCAACTGTTCCTTCTGATTCTTTAATCTTCTTTTCTTTTCTTTTTTACAGACAATCCACAGCCGTAGCGTAGAGAGAAACGGGTTCTCATTTAGGCTGAGTTGACGCACGGCTGGGGTCTGAAGACACGGCCAATCAGCGGCGCTAATGGATGTGCTAATGTCTCTGATTGTGCTCAGATGTGCTGCAACTCCAATCAATATTCATGCAGCTGACCTCGCTCCGGACGGACATGTTCACGCTTTTCAATTAGCGCGTGGAGACACAGACCAAAATGAAGATGGTATTTGTTTACAGGATTTAATGTGAATGTCTGAGCTTTGAAGCTAAGAAACCAAAATACTTCAAGCAAAAGACTCGAACAGGTCCTCATCCATCTATCACTAACACAACCTGTCCTGAGGTCTGGGCAATCAAATACCAACAATTGTCTTATCATAGTCCTCTAACATTATTCTAGCATTTTTCAATATATTACTTTTTATTGTATTCAGATTCAGATTCAGTTTATTTACCATTTGCAGTAAAAAAAAACCACATTGGAATACATTAGCAAAAAGTCCCCAGTGTGCACAGACAAATACAGACATAACACAACATTAAAAGTACAGAAAAAAACAGTAAACAATTGTCATATTGTTTTTATGTGCCCAGTGTTTCCTCTGGAGGAACCCTCTACACAGGGAGCGGTGGTCGGGGTCTGGCTCTTGGACCTGGTGGAGGTCTGGAGCTGGGACTTCCTCTCTCCTCTGGGTCCTGCGTCATCTATGTGGTGGTGCAGATGGCTCCATGGATGGCGTTTCTTCAGCTGGTTACTCCGATGCCCAGCCTTAAATTTTTTCATGGTTGAACCTATTTTACCATAGGCTGTAAAAAATAACGGACAGAGTCACGCCGTTCTAACTAATGGGCCAAAACTTGTGCTCTACTGGAGCTATCCAAAATGGCCGCGAGTGGTCCCGCCCACAAGAAAATTGTGAAAAAAATGCATCTGCGAATACGTCAGCCGGCGCAAATTCACAGCAAGTAAACTAGAGTGGTCCAAAAAAATTCACCCCCCTCAGCATTGACACACATGTGGAATGGAGCTTTGGGCCAAGAGCCAACTTTTGGACCATCCTGTAAAGACGTTTTCGAGAGGTCTCCCAATGCTATATGTTAGCATTGGCTAATTCTTCTTCTGGGTCCACTCCCATCGGCCCAGGGTGGTATTGCAGCATTTCAACCTGGAGAGACTACAAGAGACGAGATGCGTTTAAGAGTTGTTTATTTTATGGATTGAGTTTGTTTATTGGTTTGGCGCTTAGGCCCCGGCTGTGGCCGTGCTCTGAAGAGATCTGCGCCTGGGTGCAGATCATGATCCCCCGGGGCCTAGACACTGGTGGTGGCAACAAGGCAAGGTGACAGTGAAGAAATCCTGAGGCGGAGGTGGGGAGGAGGTGGTTGCAGCTTGAAGTCCGTTTGGTGAGCTGTGCTCTGCTTTGCTCTTAAACGCTGGCTTGATTGACACGGCTGCGGGGAGTTGATTAAGACAGGCTGAGTAAGGCGTGGTTAAGCCCGGTGTGATAACGTAGGTAGTCTACCATCCTGAACCTCCGCTTAAGCTTCATTTCAACCTGGAGAGACTACAAGAGACGAGATGCGTTTAAGAGTTGTTTATTTTATGGATTGAGTTTGTTTATTGGTTTGGCGCTTAGGCCCCGGCTGTGGCCGTGCTCTGAAGAGATCTGCGCCTGGGTGCAGATCATGATCCCCAAAAAGAGAGCTTGGCTAGCGATGCGTTTGCCACGACTTGGTTGCTGCGTTTATGGAAGGCGCATGGTGTGAGTGACTGTTTCCGTGCGCGAGCTCGGCTCTAGCGCTAGGCGTTGGCACGCGCACGAGCTCGGCTCAAGTGCGCGGCGTCATGTCCGTGCGCGAGCTCGGCTCTAGCGCTAGGCGTTGGCACGCGCACGAGCTCGGCTCGAGTGCGCGGCGTAATGTCCGTGCGCGAGCTCGGCTCTAGCGCTAGGCGTCGACACGCGCACGAGCTCGGCTCGAGTGCGCGGCGTAATGTCCGTGCGCGAGCTCGGCTCTAGCGCTAGGTGTTGGCACGCGCACAAGCTCGGCTCAAGTGCGCGGCGTAATGTCCGTGCGCGAGCTCGGCTCTAGCGCTAGGCATTGGCACGCGCACGAGCTCGGCTCGAGTGCGCGGCGTTGGCACGCGCACGAGCTCGGCTCAAGTGAGCGCCGTAATGTCCGTGCGCGAGCTCGGCTCTAGCGCTAGGCGTTGGCACGCGCACAAGCTCGGCTCGAGTGCGCGGCATGCTGGAAATGAGGAGTTGCCACCACCAGGAGATGCATACGTACTTATATGAGAGGAGGCGATGGGCTGCCAGAACGGATGAATGTGGTAGAGAACCGGGGACCGAGCTCCTGGAGAGATGATTGAGGGAGTCCCAGGGCAGCAGCCCAAGTGGCTGGTGTAGAGAAAGGAAGAGAGGTTATATGCAGGGAGCAGAGGTTTTGAATTTGTTCAGACCAGGGGGTCGTCAAGGGATTGTTTAAGGAGTAATTATAGTCTATGAATGTTGATAAAATGTCCATAGATGTTGTAGAATGTTAAAGTATCCTGGATCATCACCACGGGCCTTCTAGTTGGACGCTAACTGTCCAGACCCTCCTGCATGGCAAGGAAAACTCACAAAACCCCGTGGGGAAAAAAAAGTGAGAAACCTTCGGAAGACCCTACATTGAGAGAGGGAATGGCGGCGTGGAGGAGGAGTCAAAGCGTGCGGCGTCAAAGCGTGCGGCGTCAAAGCGTGCGGCGTGGAGGAGGAGTCAAAGCGTGCGGCGTCAAAGCGTGCGGCGTGGAGGAGGAGTCGAAGCGTGCGGCGTCGAAGCGTGTGGCGTCAAAGCGTGCGGCGTGGAGGAGGAGTCGAAGCGTGTGGCGTCAAAGCGTGGAGGAGGAGTCGAAGCGTGCGGCGTCAAAGCGTGCGGCGTGGAGGAGGAGTCGAAACGTGCGGCGTCAAAGCGTGCGGCGTGGAGGAGGAGTCAAAGCGTGCGGCGTCGAAGCGTGCGGCGTCAAAGCGTGCGGCGTGGAGGAGTCGTCAAAGCGTGCGGCGTGGAGGAGTCGTTGAAGCGTGCGGCGTGGAGGAGTCGTTGAAGCGTGCGGCGTGGAGGAGTCATTGAAGCGTGCGGCGTTGAAGCGTGGCGTTGAAGCGTGGCGTTAAAGCGTGGCGTTGAAGCGTGGCGTTGAAGCCGCGTAAGGCCAGAGCACTGGGCAACGAACAGCACAGAGGGGCTCGGCTGCGCTCCGACCAATCAGAGCAGCTCTTCAGACACGGACAGCCGGGAGGCAATGCAGTGGGCAAAACTTACAGTCCACGGTCAATTAGACAGAGCGAAGGCCAATGCAGACGACAAATGTTATAGTCCATGGTTACAACTGACAGCCTGAAGGTCAATGCAGTGTGTAGAATGTTCAGCCCATGAGTAAAACGGGCAGCCAAGAAGGCCAACAGTGGTTAAAATGTGCGGTCCATGGTGAAAACGGACGGTCTAAATGTCAATGCAGATGGTAAAACGAACAGCCTGAAGAGCAATGCATCGGGTAAAAACACAGCCTGCGAGCCAATTCGGCGGGATTAACTGACACGCCGCAGTTCAGTACAGTTCATGGTAGTGCGGAAAACAACGAAACCGACACTGTACCGTGAGTGGAGGCAGGGAGAAGGGTGGACAGCGGCAGGCAGACAACGGCAGGCAGACGAAGTCCTGTTCCCGGTATGGAAGCGGCAGGGTGCGCGGAGTAACGCCTGGCCGCGAGCAGCAGCGGCCACGGGGAGACGAGCGGCAGCGAGTTCGCAGGAGAGGACCCGCGGTGAGCCGCGGTGGAGACACAGCGACCATGGCGCGCAGTCCCAAAATATGATGTGGAAGAGGAGCCGCGACCATGCAGGACGAACAATGTGCGAGGCGTGAGTAAACAAAGTGACGAAGAGGAACCCATTGCAGCTTGAAGTCCGTTTGGTGAGCTGTGCTCTGCTTTGCTCTTAAACGCTGGCTTGATTGACACGGCTGCGGGGAGTTGATTAAGACAGGCTGAGTAAGGCGTGGTTAAGCCTGGTGTGATAACGTAGGTAGTCTACCATCCTGAACCTCCGCTTAAGCTTCATGTCAGCGCACGTCATTTTGGCCACTTTTGAGCCGGGACCCTCCCCCACTGTATTTTACCCAATCAGTCTAATATATTGTAAGTATGATAGTATTTGTGGTTTGGAGTGGGTCTGTTGGGTGGCCGAGTTGACGGGTCATGGGCATGTGGGAATGTTTTTAACCAAATTTTAACCAAATGTTAAGCAGAGTTGCATTTTTTGGATTTTTGTTTATACAAGACATATTATTGGATTATTAAATGCAAGATTCTGAGTCCCATTCCTGGTCTAAAAGTATCAACTCATTTCCAGTCTTGCCATGAGGGGCTGCAGTTCATCAACAGATACATTTATTCAAAAAACAAAATACAATCACATGAACTGGTAGTGCAGCTGTGAAATGAAAATCCTTCTACGTTTAAGTAGGTCGTATGAAACAAAAGAGATGTCAGGCGCATGTCCGATTGTTAAATGTCAGGGAAAATTGATTCGCTGAGAGTTGAAAAGAAAAAGGCTTGGAGTTCTAAATCAGGACATGTACATTTCCATCAGTATACAGTAGAAGGAAAATTACTGCAGCTTTTTCTACTTTTTAAACTAGACCGTCCTCCCTTCTTTTTGGAGAAATCCCCCAAATATGAACTCACTTTTTACATTCTCAAAAACAAGACGCGGAAAACAGACTGATCTAGACTTGTTGAAATGGCGTGACGCTTTATCAGTCAATCTGATAATACTTTGACATCTTTCATTTCACATGGACTCAAAGAGAATCTGGCTCCCTACACCCGGCATCTCTAATGAGATTGAGACTTTGATAATAAGCACAAAATCAAGAAGATGATAGAAAATATGTAGATGAAATGTGATTTTATTTGGTTTCTGCAATATTAAGCTGCAATACTAATATGCAAAGACAACACACAGACTACATACTTTCTCCTTAAACAAAAACCCAGTAAACTCGCTATTAGCTTTGTGCCAGTTTACAAACAGCAAAATAGTGTACGTGCCGCAGCGTTAATAGAGCGTGTGGGTTTATTTTTAGCACCCTGGAGGCAGTGGCTTTGCTGCTGGAGGTCTGGTCCACTGGCCTCTGTGGCTGCATAACAGATGGCTGCTCCGTCAGATCTGGACCTGGGTTAACAGTATTTGCATATGAAACCATTCTGAGAGCAGGGGTTGGTCAGACTTGCCTTTTTCTCTAGACATTGAAGTGGAAGAGAAACAGGAGGTCTTTCTACCTTAATAAAGAAGTGATTGGACTTAACATTTTTATATACTGTATAGGCATTGTAGGGATAGGGTTACACTGGATAATTCTGTATGTATATATATAAAAAAAACAATACATTGATTCAGATGATGGGTTATGATAGAGATGGGCAATAAATCCAATGTGCATATTGTCAAAATTGTGAAATTGAGGTCAGGACAAGTTCCTTGGGTTCTGCCACCGCTTCTCGAGGCCTCTGTAGTTTAGCAGAGTTGCAAGTTTGAACAATGGGGCAGTTCACAAAGAGCAGTGCGAGCCTGTAACTTCCAAAATGTGGAACGGATAAAGGCATCATTCATTTATTCCACTTACATACGACATTTTTGGAGGGCTAAACTTGAAAATATTGAGCTCATTAAATGCTTTTGAATTGTAATTTATAATCTAATGACCTTCATTTAATCTGGAATATCCCACTGAGATTTCAGAATCTGTTTTTTTTTTGTCATCAGTCCTGGCCCGAAAGACAGGAGAGCTGTTGTACATGTTCATAGTGGTAGAGGAAACTGCAGCACCTGGAGGAGGCCCTGTTTCGAACAGGATTCGAACTCAGGACCTTCTTGTTGAGAAGCGAGATTGCTAACCGCTTGCCCACCATGCCAGCCCTTAATTATAAATTATAAACGTCCAAAGCAGGCAATAAAATCGAGTTTTGCGGTTTTATTTTCTATCTTATTTTATTCAGCACTTTGAGTTGCCTTGTGTATGAGTTGTGCAATACAAATAAACTTGACTTGCCTTACCTTGCCTTTTTTGCCATATCTATTATATTTCACACAGGACAAAGTTGAGACATAGCAAGACTTCCTTTCTAACTCACAGCTATTCAGAAATTGCTCATGGCCGACAGTGACGCACACCCGGAGCGCCAGTTTACGCGTCTGGTCCGTGTGGAACAAGGTCAGCGCTCGGTGCGATGACCATTGAGATTTAAACACCGTTGTCTTGCTTGACTTTTCTCTTCACTCCCTCTCTGGCCGTTGGGTGGGAGAGAATATGCTTATATACAACACCCACTCACAACTATAAATTAAACCAGGCAAATGTGATTTATCTCTTCTCCCGTACGCTCCCCTTCAGCACGACTCTCCGGAATAACAGCAAACATAAATAGAGGGAATAAAACAGGGACTTGAGAGAGTGGATTACACCATGAATCAGTTTATTAACAGTATATACCCGCGCTGCACCGGGGGAATTGATCCATTCATAAAGCAGTGTTTACAGCATTTATCTTCACCCTAGAGCAGAGGCCCTAAAATCTCGCTAAGCGCCCAAAGACATGGCTATATGGTGAGATGGATCTGAGAAACGGGTGTCAAGGCCCACGGCGAACGCTGTTGATGTGCCACTGCTAATACCGGGAGCCGCAACAATGTAATCTACAACTACAACAATGGAAAGCTGAGCAATGTTGGGATTGGATGTAAGGGATGATTTGATCTGCTTTATACAACAGAAAACTAGGAGAGGATGATAAAGATGCTATTGCGTGGTTGGAAACAGTGGTGGAGGTGTTTATTTCACACAAAAGATAACAATGCATCGGTTTTATATGATGCGACAGTAGCTCAGTTGGTAGAGCACTGGCCTTTAGGCCTGAAGATCGTGGGTTCGACCCCACCATAAGACCTACTTCACGACTCCCACTGATGACTGCTGTCGTTGTGTCCTTGGGCAAGACACTTAACCCCACTTTGCCTGAAGCCCCCACTGAAAGATCTCAGCTCCTGTGGACTCACCACCTGCAGGAAGATCAGTGAGGGGCTGGTGCTCTGTGTACTGGGTGCAGCTCTGACTGCCACCCCCCCGACCCAGAAATGGATTAAGGGGAAGAAAATGGATGGATGGATGGACGGTTTTATATAGCACTTTTTTGGACACTCAAAGACACTTCACATGTATTTATTCTTTCATAATTTGATAAGGTACTATTGTAGCCACAGCTGCCCTGGGGCACACTGACAGAAGCGAGGCAACCAGTATGTGCCATCGGCCCCTCCGACCACCACAAACCATTCACACACACACCAGAAATCATTCTAGGCAATGGGGGTAAAGTGTCTTGCCTAAGGACACAACGACAGTTTGGCACTTTACTGCCACATTCACCCCACCCCCATCAGGTATTCCCAGAGGTTAAGTGTCTTGCCAAGGACACAACGACAGCAGACAGTGGGAGTCGATGGTGAAAGTCGGGCTCGAACCCACGACCCTCTGGCTCAAAGGCCAATGCTCTACCAACTGAGCTACTGTTACCCTTGATGTATCGTATGCTGAATTAAGACATGACAAAAATCTATAAGTAAGTGTTTATAGCATTTGCACTTATTCAAAGTTGTGCCGAGATATGCGTTTTTTGTCTCGTTTATGTCTTCTGAAATATAGAAAAAAAGTGCAGAGATTGATTCAAGAGTGTTTTGTGTTTCCACTTATACCACTATACTTTCTGAGACCATTTATCATACCATCATACCATTTATTATAGTGGAAGTGAAGCACAAAAGCAATACATAAGCTTTCCTTCAAACTATCTGTGTTTGAGAAGCCCATAATCACACCTACAGTCGTCTCCAAAGACATTACTAAGTTGTCAATTCACCAACAACAGATCAGAGAGACAGTAAATGCGATACTATCAAACACATAGGAGACAATGTCAATGTCAGTGTTGTATTTGTACAGCACATTCACAACATCAGATGCCTAAATGGCTTCACACGCACACAATAAATAAGAAAAAAATAACAGCATTAAGTATCACTACATATTGTGAATCAGTTTAAAGCAACCAAATTAGATGTGTTTTTTTAATTTGGATTTCATGTGTTTGAACTGTTTGAAGTGTTGGTGAATTCAACGGTTTTGTTAAGTCCTCGAGATAACTACTGTTGTGATTTAGGGCTGTACAAGAATAAATTGAATTGAGATGTCTATATATTGTTTACTTCCCCACATTATGAAATACAATATACATATTCTATAATTATTTTACCCTTATTTGATTAAAATGAATGTATTTTTAATCTACTTCAAGGTATTTTGTTGTTATTGTATTGTAATACCCTTTCAAAGTTTATCTTAACGTCGTTTACATGCTTAACTTCACGAGTGAGATCCTATTCTTCATCTTCATGTAAGAAATGTTTTATTGTAGCCGCTCTTAGAAGACTATCTTCTGTGCTGCAGCAAATTCACCTGGGACTGCCTACTGCCAGTGTCTAATCTAATTACCTGCCATCTGGGGGGTAGTGTGATCATCGATGTGTGTCTGTTTGTCTGTAAGCAGGATTGCTCAAAACTCTGGGATGGAGTGACCTGAAATCTTGTGTGTAGACGGAAAGTGATGGTGGAAAACCGCCCACAATTCGAGATGGTGCGTGCTGTTGGTGGGGTATGTGCCCACCACTTGTTCACTAATACATTATAATAGATTGTTGTACTTGCATGTAAGGCAAGACTGCAAACAAATCAAAGACAGGCATGGCTCAAATTTGAGTTAAGATACATGAATGTGATGTAATTATGACCAAAGCTGCTTGTCCAATAAAAAAACATTTTGTTTTAAGACCTTGCTTATTCAATATGTCGGCTTTCTCTCACTTGTCAAAAGGAATAGCTCATCATTTTGTTCAATTACATTTATTCTTGCATAGCCCTAAATCACAACAGTAGTTATCTCGGAAGACTTAACATCACGGTTGAATTCGCCAAAACAGATCAGAGAATTAAATGCAATGATGAAAAATACAGAGAGCCATTGGTCCATAAGGAGCAGATGATGACTGACAACAAATGTTGTCAAAAAAAAACAAACAAACAAATTGTCTATGTATTTAGAGTATTTACCGCTGTTCGCCCTGATGCAGTATGTCCTTAGACCAGTCCTGGCTCCCTCCTGCCGTCCTAATAGATGGCAACAGTGTTTTGTGCAGAAGCCCAGAGCAGATGACCGGAGTGGGTGAGCCTCTTCATGTTGAGAGCCATGATGCACTGCTGATGGCTGTCACTCTGCTGCCTGATTACTGCAACAACACTCAGCAGGAACTAGTGTTTGTACTGGGAACTAATTCATCCAAGTGTGGATTAACATGAGCACTTTAGAAGCTTTTGTATTTTCTCTCTTGAGTGGTGGAGGTTGTATCGACCTATTTACAGCCTACGTCATAATGGAGAAAAAAGTGAGAAATCTCAGGGAGGTTTTAACACTGCCTCAGGGCTTCCCGGCCTCAGGGTAACGCACAAGTTAAAGCCAAACAATGCATGATAAAAGGTCATGGACACTTTTGGCTCGTGCCTAAACATCTTTTAGACCTTTCTGAGGCATTTTGGGTTATTTTACTTGGTTTTATTTTGACTTAGGTTTTAGTTTATTTAGTTTCATTTCCTGTCTGCCCCGCCCTATGTGTTTCACCTGTGTCTCTCTGGGTCTATATGTACCTGTATCTCTGTGTCTATATGTACCTGTGTCTCTCTGGGTCTATATGTACCTGTATCTCTGTGTGTCTGTATGTACCTGTGTCTCTCTGTGTCTATATGTACCTGTGTCTCTCTGTGTCTATATGTACCTGTGTCTCTCTGGGTCTATATGTACCTGTGTCTCTGTGTGTCTGTATGTACCTGTGTCTCTGTGTGTCTATATGTACCTGTGTATCTCTGGGTCTATATGTACCTGTGTCTCTCTGTGTGTCTGTATGTACCTGTGTCTCTCTGTGTCTACAGTATATGTGTCTGTGTCTCTGTGTGTCTATATGTACCTGTGTCTCTCTGGGTCATGTACTGTACCTGTGTCTCTCTGTGTCTATATGTACCTGTGTTTCTTTGTCTATATGTACCTATGTCTCTGTGTGTCTATATGTACCTGTGTCTCTCTGTGTCTATATGTACTTGTGTTTCTTTGTCTATATGTACCTGTGTCTCTGTGTGTCTATATGTACCTGTGTATCTCTGGGTCTATATGCACCTGTCTCTCTGTGTCTATATGTACCTGTGTCTCATATGTACCTGTGTTTCTGTGTCTCTCTGTGTCTATATGCACCTGTGTCTCTGTGTCTATATGTACCTGTGTCTCTGTGTCTATATGTACCTGTGTCTCTGTGTCCATATGTACCTGTGTCTCTGTGTCCACATGTACCTGTGTCTCTGTGTCTATATGTACCTGTGTCTCTGTGTCTATATGTACCTGTGTCTCTGTGTCCATATGTACCTGTGTCTCTGTGTCTATATGTACCTGTGTCTCTGTGTCCATATGTACCTGTGTCTCTGTGTCTATATGTACCTGTGTCTCTGTGTCCATATGTACCTGTGTCTATATGTACCTGTGTCTCTGTGTCTATATGTACCTGTGTCTCTGTGTCCATATGTACCTGTGTCTCTGTGTCTATATGTACCTGTGTCTCTGTGTCTATATGTACCTGTGTCTCTGTGTCCATATGTACCTGTGTCTCTGTGTCCATATGTACCTGTGTCTCTGTGTCTATATGTACCTGTGTCTCTGTGTCTATATGTACCTGTGTCTCTGTGTCCATATGTACCTGTGTCTCTGTGTCTATATGTACCTGTGTCTCTGTGTCCATATGTACCTGTGTCTCTGTGTCTATATGTACCTGTGTCTCTGTGTCCATATGTACCTGTGTCTCTGTGTCTATATGTACCTGTGTCTCTGTGTCCATATGTACCTGTGTCTCTGTGTCTATATGTACCTGTGTTCCTCTCCCCTTGTTGCTGGTCCATTGTCCATGTTTTGCTTGTCTTTTCTGGTTCCTGGTCCCATTTGGATTTTGAGTTTGTTTTCTCATCTGGGACTTTTATGTATCACCAATAAATCATTATTATTTTGCATTCCTGCATTTGGGGCCTCTTGGCACTTGTCTATAAACATGCAAGAGAGAAATGGCTCAATTTTCTCTATGACTGTATTTATGAAAAATGTGTTGAATTGAAGACATAATTTTGTGTGTGTTTAAGTAGAAGACAATGTTTATATAGATCCAACACTAAATGAGAACGGGAGACAGACATAATTGTTTCAAACTCCACAATTGTTCAGTGGATTTGGTGCCAACATAGCAGCAGTTCACATTAGCAAGAGATTTTTACTTTTGTCTTTGTCAAAATGTCAGTGAATTATAATAGATTACACAAAAAACGTATAGATATAAGTGCTGCGGTTAAACTTCCCGAATGCAGGAAAATAAGACTCACAAACAAACATTAATCGGTTTGAAAATAAATGTAAGCGACAAAACACAGAGAGAAATTTTGTATTATAATATTTTGCATCTTTTTGTTCTGCTATCTCTGCCTTTTTTGTGCAGAAATTAGCAACTGGCATATTCTATTCAAGGTGGGAATTACGTTTCCAACTGTGGGAGTGACTGGCAGCCTCTCCTCTGGATAAAAGATGGCGAATAAGCTCAAAGCCAATGAGATATAATAGTGTGAATCATGAGCATATTTTCAGTCTCCGTTTTTATAGAGCGAAACATCCACGCAGCCTTGTAAAAGCAAACGCAACAGTGCATAGTAGAGTGGCCAATTTACTGCGGCAAAACTGAGGCTGTTTTTTTATGTCTGTAAAAAGGTTTCTGTACAGTGAAGAGCATTTCCATTTAAGCTTTTGCGCTTGTGTCAGCTCGGTCAGCAACAGCGGCATCCCGTACGTGGAATAATAAGACAGCCGATACCTCAATTAGGGAGAGTTTAGTGCAACAGTAAAATCTGATCTGACGTGAAGTATTTGGAGATGTGTTTGGGGAAGCAGTTTTTAGATGGATGGTGACACCCAGAAGTTAACAATGCAACTTTATTCAATTGTAAATATTTATGAGTTTAGCAGATCCAGAATCATGCACCAACACCTATATACAGTGGTTCCAAATATTTTATGCCCCGTGTTTCCACCCCCATAGAACTGACTGTTGCGGAAATCTTGTTTTCTTTGAGTAAAGTTTGTTAATTTGCTTTTACATTTTTAGTTTAGGTATTCTGACCAAGTGTGTGATTTTTTTTTAAATAATCAGAATCAGAACTTTTTTTTTGTCATTTTATTCATTCATTCCATTTGACAGAAAGTCACAAATTAGAATTTTGTTTGGTATATGGCAAACAAGTTATAAAAAAGTAGAACATAGACAGAAGTGAATTGATGATTTTAATTTGCTGGAATATAAAGTGCTTATTTTGTTCAGCACTTTGAGTTGCCTTGTGTATGATCTTGTGCTATACAAATAAACTTGCCTTCCCATGAGTTATGGAATGTCCAACTGCAAATGGGGGAAACAAGAAAACAGAACGCTTGCAAGTTTTAAAATCATTTCAAGTGCTCCCTGTAATGCCCTTTTACCGGCGATTGGGAAACAGTGACAGAACACCCATGCAAAATCATCTTTTGTGACATGTTCACCATGTTACAACACTGTGCTCTCATTATAAAAACAAACCAGGAGAAGATCTTAGTTTCATCCATGCTATTATCAGGAAAAAAAAGACATCCCCCAAACCTTTCTTTGTACAAAGTTTTCCAACTTCCCAAAAAAAGTTTGAGATTTCTTCAAAGTATGATTGTTCTAATCCCTTTAATTGACTGTATTTGCGCCATGTTTGACCAACAATGTTATTTTCCCCCATTTCCACCACCAGCTGGAACCGTTGTGCTCTTGTGCTCACCCCGACATTGTTTTATTCCAACATACAAAGTACACCATTGGTTTCTAAAACATAAAAGGCCAAAGTCATATTCTCTCAGGACCATGTTTAATGCCCAAAAATAAAGACGCATACCAGTAATGCAAATATTTGTTCTTAAACGGCACATTTATTTGACATGACTTTATTAGTGAGGTGAATAACAACAAAACACATTTTCAATTTCATCCATTATTTACTGTATGTTAAACTACAAAGCCGTTCTCCACCTGCTTGAAAACATCCACTGCTGCCAATTTCACAGAGATTCATGAAACACAGACTTAAGAGGCTCCATTAATCTTATCCAATGTTTTTGTACTGGGAAGGTTCTTTGTTCTAAACAAATGATGCACATACAGAAGTCTTCCAGAGCAGGTGTATAAGGGCTGTCTTCAGAGAGCGCCCTTTGGCTCCCACTGCTCATCTCTGCTGCTTTATGATGACTGACAGGATCCACCGCTGTCAATAAGGAACAAGGCAATTAAAACCATGCAGGCAGTCACGCTATGCAGCAGGTACGTGGGGGTCAATTGAACCGATAGGATGGAATCTGCGCAATTGCATAGAGGAGAAAAGTATTAGTGAAGCCACGTTATACTGTAGCAACCGGAAAATAAATAATACACATTTTTCAGATTCATTTTATTTGCCACATTGGAATACATGATCCGGTGATGGTGATAAACTTAGACATTTTGAAGTGCACCGTGGATAATATTATGCAGTGAGGGCAAATGTTTAGAAAAGTGTGTAGGCAGTGTTCCATTGTTAATGTCTTTTGGATACAATAACTTTATATGCAGTTCCACCCAGGCTTTAGTGTCCCTATGCAGCGCGGCGGCTGAGCAGATGGTATGCTAACTACGGCTATTCGGGATGAACTGTAGACAACGGCTATAAAATATTGTGCAGGACGGTGAGACGAGTGTAAAGGGAACATATGGAAAAGAACATTGTTTAAACACTGTATGCATCCACTCATACATAAAAAAAAAGTCTTTGACAAAGTGTTAGGAAGCTTAGATTTGTGTGTTTTTAGCTAAATAATAAGAATGTATTTTGTTTATTTATTAGTTGATTAAAATTGTACACAGAATGTATATCTCCAAAGAAATTCCAAGAGCAATCACATTCAGTATCCTACAGTAAGCAATTGAAAATAATTAATTCAATAAGTCATTATCCAGATACTAGTCATTTGGCGAAGTCAGTTTGGACTCACTTTGCAGACTTGTCATGTCATGTCCTTTTCTACCCCTTTCTTATTCCATTTCTGGGTCGAGGGGGTGGTAATCAGAGCTGCCACCCAAATCTCAATGCACCAGTCCCTCGCTGATCCTCCTGCAGGTTGTGAGTCCACGGGATGATGGCTTCTCCATAATCGAAGACATGGCCTTGGTTTTTCAGCAGGGGTTAAGTGTCTTCCCAGGGAGACAACCACAGCAGACATGGGCGGCACGGTGGCTGAGTGGATAGCACTCTCGCCTCTCAGCAAGAAGGTCCTGGGTTTGAATCCCGGTCGGACCAGGGCCTTTCTGAGTGGAGTTTGCATGTTCTCCCCGTGTCTGCGTAGGTTTCCTCCGGGTACTCCGGTTTCCCCTACCACTAAAAATATGTACAATAGGTCTGGCATGTGCCTCCTGTACTGGCCCCTCCCATCTCTGTGTAGAGTGAGAGACAAATGCCCAAAATTAACAATTGTAAACCGCTTTGAGACTCAGATCTGCAGTGAAAAGGCGGTATATAAATAAAAACTTACTTACTTACTTACATCAGTGGGAGCAGATGACATGGGTCGTGGTGGATTCAAACCTACGACCATTAGGTCCATAGACCAGTGCTCTACCAACTGAGCCACTGACTTTGCTAACTTAGCCTTTCTTAAACTAGAGAATATTTGTTTTCATGTTCAGCTATTTTGAAAAATCTGAATATATTTACCAAAGCACCACTCCCATACACGGTGTTTGAAGCTATACTATTTCTCAGTGCCCATCAGAAGCTACGTGAATGAGGGTTAAGAATAGGGTTAAGTGATCAGGGAGAACCGGGCATCAGCCATCAACATGTAGCCGACCACAGGCCCCTCATCCTTCCTTCTCTTCAGTCTCTCCCTGCGCACTTTCAGACTTTGGTTTTACTTTAAATGTGTTCATGGGCTGACTTACTTGTGCCTCTTACTCTTCCCTTGACCCCCTCGGCAGATCGGGCTTTTGTAATGGTTCCAAGGTCCAAGAAGACCGGCACTTTTCACATTCCCTGTTTTTAAGTTACATCTTATATTTATTCCTTGGCTTTTATGTTTTTCTTTTGAGAGTTGACTTTTTGATTGTCTGATCTGTTGTTAGTGAATCAACAACTTTGTAAAATCCTCAGTGACATCTGCTGTTGTGATTTAGGGATATACAACATTAATCGAAATTAATTGAATTGTTGTTTTTAACCTGAGTTGGTGAAAATATTGTATATAAACCGCAACACGTTTTAATGTCAGACGTTACCGACAGCAGATGGAGCAAAAGGATTAAAAGATGGACGCCTGTTTTAACTGGACATGATGAGATAATGACGAGGTGTTTTAACGCACTGTTGACTCATGATGATCAAAGCACTCAAAGCAAATCCAATCTACTTCGACAATAAACGTTCTTCCCATTCCTACTAACATTTTATAGAGCCGACAACAGCCAGAATCACATAAAAACTGGATATTTCCCTGCTCTTCCTCTTGTCATCTCTCACTGCTGTTCACATAAACACAACGGGAAGCAGGAATGTGTTCTATGTCAACAGCTCACGATATAGGCCGAGGTGTTTAAATAACTAGTAGCGGCTTATAGTCCGGCAATTACGGTAACTATTTTTCACCTCTCAATGAAAGTGAGTGGGAGCAAAAGCCAACGGGAGCCAAAGTTAATTATATATTAGATATTTTATGATTGGAATGGGTCTCAGTGGGATATCTCCTTTTCTCTACTCCTACAAAAGAATTTCAACTATTTCTATGCCTTGAGGTTTGCTTAGGAGTGCATTAAGTCTTTCTCGCACTGTGACTTAATGGCTATTTGTTTGATGAGATGATAACTGATTATAACTCTTTACTCCAGCAGTGGGGATGTATGTTTGAAAAAATTTGGCTCTCCGGACCATTAGCCGGACGGGGCGAGCAGCGTGCGGGCAGAGTACGCTGTGGCGTTGGCCGAGGCGGTACACGCAGAGCCAGGTCTGTTTATGTATCTACTGAGCATGTGCGAGATGTGTATTTATAAAACCATAGGAGTTATAGTGTTGTGTGAGACTGTTGCATATGGTACGATGACGATGATCATGGGGTGCAACAGGGATATTCTGGTGTAAAAAAAAAAGAAGTTTGTTGTGTTAAAAGCTCTGAATAACAGATTCATGATATAGAATGTGATATTGCCAAATGTACAACGATGTGATGAATCGGATTATATGAAAGTAACGTTTGGTCCGAAGGTTATTTCATCCAGATGGTGATTTTGGCATCCAGTACGGAGAAATTAAATTTGGCTTGGCATGAACCCACCTGTGATACCTCTGATTGGTCAGAATGCATTGCCATTTGACAAGGCTAACACTCTTTAAGGACATTATCTTCCACACAAAAAAATGTATGGTATTAAAAGATGGAGATTAGGTGGATAGAATATGTTGTGTATTTTATCTCATGAAATTCTGTCTGTGCCAAATTACGTATTATTAAAACTACCTTTTGAGCTTTTAGCCATGTTACAACAAAAACAGACTTTGATTTGTTTTTAGATCCATTCATGCTAATATCTAGCCTGGTAGGACTACTTTTCACAACTGTATATATTGTCTGGGACCATTCATCTGTTTATTTTCTCATCAGTGAGCCATGGTTTTTGATCGTTCATACTGTTTGGGGTGCTGTCATATGCGTCTGAAGTGGCAACCCCTGTCCAGAGAGGCCGCACCCCCGGGTCATCACATTAAT